AACCCTGTTCAAATCTCCTGAGATGTCCTGGGTGACCAAAAGTATGGATACTTCTTCAGGCTTCCTGCAGTGCACTGTTACATCAAACACCCTTTCAGCCAGTGTTAGTGTAAAGAATGGAGGAAATATAGGCATTGAGTTCTCTGGATGTTACTTATACCTCTAGTTACTCTCATGTTTGTTAGTTACACGGGTCCCAGATTTTATCCTGTCCTACAGGGAATAATAAGTCAAAGGCTTTTAGAAAACTCAGTCTTTGGTATTCAATTGATAGGACAGTGTCAAATTCTTACACTGTTTTGTCATTGTCCGAGCTGAACACAAGCATCTCCTGAAGTATAGCATTTCAGCCAGGAAAATTAAGAGGACAATAAAGTTTTTGGAAACTTCTCTAAGTAAAAATAACAGCCCTGGCTAAGTTTTAAGGAAAAAACTATTCTGGATAAGAAACTGCTGGTTTTGTTGTTGCTGTTGTTGTTGTAAGCATTTCCTTTACAAATATTATTTAGTATTTTAGTCCAAAGAGGCTCCTTGGCATCCCTGCACTTAGCTGACATCCTTAGAATGCTTCAAGTACAGCTGGTAAATGTGGAAAATGAAGCAAGTCATGAGAGAAAACACAAGCTCTGAGCTGGTCACTTGAAAAGGTGTCTACGGAGACACCAGGTGAGGGCTCGAATATATGGAGAAAAATAGATCATCAAGACTAAAAGTGATTATTGACGAAGCAGTTTATATTCCCCTTTGCTGCTCCTTGGGCAACTTAGGCAATCTGTCCTTTGCTTTGAAAACAGTGCTTTCTGATTCACTCCTTTCATTTATGGGTGGATGGCTGAACATTCCTTTTGCCAAATAGGTCCAATTTTTGAGATCCTTTTCTATGAGGATGGGTCCTGGAGGACTGTGCTGCTTTGTTCTCTTCTGATTAGCTGGAACAACCAGAGAGCCAGATGCAAGATGAGAACAACAATATCCAAATCCATTTACAAGGCTTCAATAATTTCTTGGAGATGGCCATGGCAGTAGTGGGTTGGTGCCAGATTGCTTTGGCAGTCTCCAGCATGCCATCATTTTTCTGGCATGGCTAATATCCCTTGTGTTCTTGAGTATAGCATATCCAAGAACTAACGTTGTGTTGTTGGACTATCTGAATGGGATTTTTTTTAAGCTGATGCCATATGGTGATTAAGTTCTGGAAAACTTTCAATCCATTAACAGAAGTTGATGTAGATAATGCATGAACTTATCAGCATAAGAGAAGAGTACTGCAGCTGGGTCCAGAGAACCTCTTAAAAGCATTAAGTACCTCTCAGCCTTCTTCCTCTTATCACTTAGTAGCCAAGTCTAAAGAAGCTCATTATCTGATGAGTCAAAATGCATTAGGTGAAGAACACATGTCCAGGATACGAGTGTGGCTGGGCTACGTTAAGTAGTATGCAAAAGCCATTTAGACCACTGCCTATAGAGTGTACACACCATACAGAGAGGACACCAGACATCATGGGATGTCTTATTATCAGCAAGATCACAGATCCCTTTCTAACCACCTTCAAAGAGTTTATTTTCTGAAATCTTTCTGACTCACACCAAGTTCCAAAGGGAGAGAAGAAAGATGGACAGAAGATGGTTTTCTTCTGCACGCAGAACCATAGGATGTAAAGTGTGGACATGACAAACCTGGAAACACGAACAGGTGATGCTAAGCAGTGCAGGTTTTGCAGAGGAGTTTTTCTTTAAACAGCTTCAGCCAGTCTGGGGAAGGTCACACTTATACTGATCCCAGCAGAGACTGAGCAGCCCCACATACTGTTTTAAGTTGAGATGCTGGATACCCAGTCTATAGGTACTCAGCAGTCAAAGATTGCTGCTAGCATGAAGGAGGTAGTTCTTATGGAGGTGCTGAGCGCTCAGTGTGAAAGTGGGAGTGTTGTTGGCAATGCAGTCTTAGCTGCTGGGGTAAATGACAGTAATTCTTCTTTATCCTTGGTTCTATGGTGCACTAACCTGAGTAGAGAGTTCACCCCTCAAGTCTGATGCTGACATAACTGCAAATGAATAAGAAGCCTCGGGGATGAAGCTGTGTGTCAACATGAAATACAGTCATCATTTACCTTGGCCTGAAAGACACTGTGTGGGGCTTCTCTCAAATTCAGTCATGGTCTCAGAGGCATGTATCAAACACTCCAACAGGAAGGTTTTTTTCGTCTTTCCTTTCTGACCGTATTTGGAAACAAATGACAAACAAATCTTCAAAGAAGTATCCTTTATGGGGTAATGTGCCCTTTTCCTTGACAGAAAGAGCCGTCTGGCTGGATATAATGGTGTCATCTGAAAAAAGACCGCTTCTGGTGACTTAGCTTCTGTCCTGATCATAGTATTTCCAAGGATGTTATAAAAAATGACAAAAATTATAAAAAATTAATAGCCATTGTATAATACCCTTTGAATAAACCAATGCTTTAAATAGCTACTCTAACATGAACCAGCAAGACTAGTAATTTAAATTAAGTAGCTAAACTAAACTAAATAAACTAATATACTGCCCATGAGAGATTGCCAGGACCTTGTCTCACTGTACTGATCAGTGAGCAAGAACATGAAGGAAGACAACCTATGCCACTTTTTATTTCTTGGGTGGGTGGAAAAGCAGATTCCTCAAGACAAAGAGAATTGGATACAAATAAGGCATTAAGTCACCAAGAAAGGATTTTTGAGGCAGAAATTCAATATGATCCAGACCAGCTGAATAGTCAAAGAAATATACCGGAAAAAACTGGTAAATATTATTAACAGAACACCAAAAAGTCTTATTAACTAGAGTGATTTTAGTGAGATTGTTCAAGAAGATGTAGAAATAAAAACACCCTTGATGCTGCACACAACAAGGAACTATTCAAATGGTCAGATTAAAACATCAAGGACTGAACATTCTAAATTTAAAATATGATATAGGTATTATGTACCATAGTGTCGAACTACTTACAATGTCCATTCTGCAAATGAGCCCTTCTTTTCTCTTCAGATTTCATTTTGGCCTTTATGTACCACTGGCATCTTTTAAGAAAAACAAGTGAGATTTTAATTAAAATATTTGTCAAGCATAAAATAAATATACATTAAGTTTTATCTGCACTTTCATGAAAGCCAAAATCTTTGCATTTGGATTTTAAATTTAGTTATGAATCTACAGAGGGAAATATGCATGAAGAACGACAAACTTCCATATCCAGTGGGTCAAAAAAGCTCACATTTTCTTCATAAGATAATAGTTTCTATGACTTCACCGTTTGTCATGAAAAAAAGAAAATATTTTTTTGTATCAGGATCACTTTTTTTAATTTTCTTTAATAGCTCTGTGTAGTGAGAGCCAGACACTGACTTTTATTTCTACTAAGACAGCAGCTATCCTATAAGATAAACAAGACATAGCCTGCTATGTGAATATGATGATTTAGCCTATGCCTGTATGATTGCTGCAAATCCTTGGCAAACAACACAAAACTCTGGATAGTCATGAATTGTTAGCAACCTTACCTGACAATGCAACGGTATGTTGAGAAAGCTGACACATGGCAAGCTTTCAGGTTCCCTGTAATGAAATCTCCCCCAGCCTGAATGCTGCTTACCTGCAGGACTGTTCATGCTAATTTAGGAGCAACTGTTTCAGTCAAGAAAAAAAGTATTCGCTCTTGGTCTTAAAGCTCTTTCTCATTCACTGATCAACCTAAGAGGTATGATTTAGAGTGAAAACTCTTGGTCTAAGACCTAGGCTAAGGGCTAAGGGCTGCTGGGGCTCTGACCCCGGTACAGAACAGCAGCGTGTGTGGATATGTGCTTTGGTGTACAGTACCAAGTCAGTACCAAGATGAGTTTGAAGAAAATTACTGGCCTCTGTGTAATTACTGGCTTTATAAAAAAAAACCCAACAACCCTATAATTATATCCAGCAAAATACTAACTATCAAGATACTAGAAATATGTGAAAACACCACTTCAACAGTTCATTTAAACACTGAAACAGCATAGGAACACTCAAAAATTCATTCATTGCTACAAATGATGATGAACACCTGAAGGGCAGAAACTTCTGAAGCTGTCATGGTTATGTACCCTTACGGAGAGAAACAGCAACCAGTGGATTCTCAGCTTCCATGGAAATCTTTAAATTGTACACCAGTTTCTGGGACCACTAAGCATGCCAATGCCATTTTTAGGACCTGAACAACTGGTCCATAGGGCGCCAACTGCCAAGAACACTGAACACAAGCTCTTATACTTAAAAGTGTCTGCCCAAGGGAACAGCCAAAGAAACAAGGCTTTAACCATCCAATCCTTCTAAATATGCATATGGCCCAAAAGTTTGACTACAGAAGGCAATAAGTAATCACCATCAGAGAAGTCATCCATCTCCAGCTCCCCACACCCTGTGAGTGTTGGATATAGAAAATCAGAGAGGAATAATTTCTGTAATGATAAGAATAAATCACACTGAGCTTTACCATCACATTTCCTGGAATTTAGCCAAGCCTCCCCTCTCGCTGCACATCCTGTGCCTCGAAGTCTCTGTCTCTTCCATTTTCCTATCTGCAATTGACAGCCATGCTTCCTGCTTGCTCTAATGGATAATCACTCGGCAAAGTGCAGAAGCAGGTGCTCATTTAACCCAGTCTCTCCACTATGAATAGACTCATCAGCAGCCCTGTGACTCGATAGCTCATCAAATTGTTAATTCTAAACAGTAAAGCAGAGCACATCTGTAGAGTACCGCTCCCATTTTTCATGAAGAAATTTGCCTCCAGTCCTAGAGTAAATTGAGTATTTATTCAAAAATTTCTTGCTCTGTCTTCTGTGGAATACACTCTTATCACTGCATTTAAGCAGCCCTTCAGAATGAATTCATACCTTCATTACTGAAATGGTCCCACTGAGTAAGAAGTTAGAAAGCTAAGGGAATCTCTGATATCCTTAACATTAGCAAATAAGGGGAATAAACAGAAAAAACCCCACTGACATAATTTTTTTCATTCCTGAGTTTAGGGAACTTTTTTCTAAAAGAAGCATTTGAGTTATGTTTCAGGATGCCACGTAAGGATTCCCCCAAAATTATGTTGTCAGAAAGTTTGTCTTTAAATAACTCCTCTCTCTTCTGAAAGACCCTGCTTGTCAGTGTTTGTAGTAATTATAGGCATATTTACATAGCTTCTAAGGTTAACTAAGGTCACAATATGTTCCAGTGTTAACTGCTCCCATTAACTTCCACAGAATGCTAGACTCAACGGGTTTTATTATTTAGCAAATAGCATTAATTCACATAACAGTAGCTACTGTAATGCCATATTTGGTTGCAGGGGTACTGCAAATAAAACCTCTGGCCTACGCTGATAGGACTTCACTTTCTTTTCAAATTACAGGTAATGTTTTACCAACAAAACAGAAACTTAATTACACATCTGAAAGTGCAGTACTGTCTATTGATCCAACTCTGTCTATGATGACCACTGTCACATTCACAGGAGTCAATGTAACATCTTTTCTCTAAGTGTAAATACAGGCTCTAAACAAGGGCAGGAATAGTGCAGAATCCTATCCTAACTCCGGATTTTTTTGTCCTCAAGTCAGGTGAAAAGGAAACTCCAAAGAATCATCCTCACATGGAAGCTCTTCCACCAGCTTTTTTATGTCTGTGGTGGAGGGAGAGGGGAAAAGGATTGAGAGGGGTCAGAGCCCACACATACGCCCCCTACAGAGTCTACTGCAGGAGCTCTGAGCACAACTCCTCGGCTCAAAGGCCCATAACCTCTACAAGGGGTCAGTCCAGTTTTAGGCTTTCTTGATCCATGGCAGCACTGCGGTGTCACTGATGTTTCACAGAGGAGACAGACATAATGTGTTTGTCCTTTCAAATTCTGCTTTGCTTTCTGATTATAAGCAAGTGATGTCCTGATACCACACAGGAAACACCTGGAGGCTCAATGAAAAAGGGAGATGAGACATCATAGAAGCATCTATGCCTATGGTAATCTGAGGTCCAGCAAGGACTGATGATCTCTAGATGTGTTTTTTAGTATGTCCAATTAGAATTTATGACTTCCCTTAAAACATTCAGTGTTTAATTGAGCATGGCATTTGACCACTTAAATCAAATGCTTTCTCATCCGATTTGCCTAATATCATTATTTGATCCTGATCAACACATCAACTGAGGAAAGGTGGACAATCAGCACTTTGCTAAAAGAATTGTAAGAACAAGAATCAGGGTCATTATAAAAAATAATCATTGTCCAGATTGGTGAAGTCCCCTGCCAGTGCAACAGTACTGATGTAAAGCAGATTTAATTGGGATGTCTTCAATCCAATTAAAAAAAACCCCAAAAGCAGTAATTCAGGACCTTCAGGAAACTATTTTCTGTTCACTAGTGATAGCACAGGCAGTAAAATCATTCTAGCATTTTGAGGTAATGCTTTCCCTAGTTTACTTTCATTACATAATTCCTGTATTTTATCATAATAGTTGCAAAAATGTGCTTATAAAACATATACATAATTGTGTATGATTTTTCCTACAAATTTAATATAGCAAAAGTAATAAAAACCTGTCCACTTAAGTGCCTTTAGCAAGCTACACTGCCAACCCCAAGACAGCAAAAATCCTAAGGTTATACCATTCAAAGCTTTGCAGTTGACGCTTGTGAGATTCTGTAAAAAATACTGTGGGGTTTTCTTTTTTTGTTTGTTGGTTGGTTATTTTTTTGTCTTCTAATGTCAGAGCATTGAGGGTGCAGGTATTGCAGTTTTAAATTCTCACTCTGCAGGCAAGAGGTCCAGCAACTTGCTTTAAAAGTAGCCAGTTTCCTCATTTCACATAATTGCTTAGCTCCTCAAACTGGTTTTTTATGCAAAACAACACTTACAACAGAACTGTGAGTATGAACAGTGCTGAACCAAGAGGACATTCACCCCGCTATGTCTAACCCTATTTAAACACTGAAAATGTGTAACTATTTTTCTTAAATTCTTAGTTTTAGATGACCCTGACTAAAGGAGAACACTTGTGCTAATTACCTTCCAGTGATCAGGAAGAACAAAGTGAGGATGACCAGCAGTGTGAATCCGCCAACAGCAGCAGTGGCAATTACAAGAATCTGTCCCTGCTCCGCAGCCATATCAGAAGCTGAAAGGAAGCACAAAGAGGTTAAATACAGGGTTCTTACAGAATGGGTGGTAACATTTCACTGGTCAAATGTTGCAATTACTCTGTAATAGTTCCCTTGTTGTTTAGCAAGGACATCAGGTGTGAATGAGCCTGTGAAAAGCCATAATCCATGTCCCAACTACAATGAAGGGGAGATGATGTTTACAGGTTTTTAAAATAAGAAGCTGGTATTATCAGACACTTGCAATTTTCTAAAGTTTGAACATGATGGGATTTTGGACACAAAACTAGAACATTTTTGGGTTCTTTTGGTTTGGTAGGTTTTTTCGGCTTTATCTTGCTTAATCCTGCATCTCATTCAGAACTTCACTCCATCCAACTGTCCCAGTGAAGTCAGCAGCAGTGCTGCGTATATAAGAGATATTAAGCTGTGTTCAGGAGAAAACAGAAAAAGCACATTTAATGTGTGACTGCACACACTTGTCTGTATGTCTGGTGCGCAGTTTTGTTGTCACAAAATGTATACAGTTTTACCTATAAGATACTCTGGTGGACTATTTTCTTATGCCTTGTATTTTTACCTCTGCTTTTTGTAGAACATTTAGGAGCTAAAAAAGATCACCTGAAATCATCTTGTCTCTAGACATTTGCTCTTTTTATAAATTTATTCTGTATAATATTGTATCTTTACATTGACAAAATGCTTATAGTCCGGTTGTTCCTCACTGTCCAAATACTACATGAGCAGAAAAAGAATAAGGCTCAGTTTTTAATCTATTTCCTGTCTTGTGAATCCAGTTTTATTTCTTAAACTCAGTTACACCTGAACATTTTTACCACATACCATTTACTTAATTCTTTCTGTTTCCATGAGAAACATAATGTTGTTCTGATAGGAGAATAAATAATTCTATTCAATGACCTCTGACAACAGTAGTAAATGTAGAAAAAAATAATTATAGCTTTATCAAGAATGCAATTTTTATTTTGTAAACTTTAAAACTGTGCTATAAGCAAAATCTTCAGCTTTCTTTAAGCACCGGATGATTAAAGCTTAGGGAAATCACTTAGAAAGCCTAGAAAGCTCAGCAGGCTATATTCTCTCAGTTCGCAGTTGATGAAGCCCAATACAATGCACACATTGCTGCCCAAAGCCTCATAAAATGAAAAACATTTGGCTTCTAAATAATATTTGTGAGTGGTTTAGAAATTAGCACTATAAACTGTCTTTGCAATAGTTGTAAAGCAAATAAAAACAATAGTAGTTTATGTCAAATTTTCAGCAAAAACAACTTGTTAATTTTCTGCCATTAGGTTTTTGCCCATATAATTTAATGGAGACATGTACAGGCAGTATATTACAACGCATTCAGTATATGTGATCATAAGGTCTCCACAGACAAGTTAAATACATACATCTTCCAATAAATGGTGTAACATATACTGAATACCTAATCTCCAAAATTATATCTAGTGATATTATGGGAGTGGATTCTAGCTCTGCATTGTGTTATGTTTCACATGGTCAGATTTATTTGGAAAAATACACCGTAACAAGCATCATGCCACACAAGTGGCAAGGCAAATAATAACAGGCTCTCCAAATCAAAGGCTGAATACTATTTTCAGACTAGCAGGGGTTGTGCTAAGTGTTGCAAAGATTGTTATAGCCAGGCACAGTTTGAAGTTGTAAATGGAGGAGGAGGTTTTAGATGAGTCTTTTTTTTCCCTCTAATAGGAAGATGTGTGCAAAAGTAGTGAATTCAGCCAAAGAAAAGCAAACCATAAGCTCAGATAAATTAGCTGTGGTTTTCCTCAGTAGACATTCATTGTCAAGGAGACAATCCAGGGTTTTTCTTCATAAGAATTAAAGGTGCAAATGTAGTGGCTGATCCCATGCTCCGAAGAAGCACTCTGCAGCTATCAAGATGAAGAAAGTCATGCGTCCTGGATCATTTCTGCTGAATGGAGCTGCTATTTCTTGGTGTTCTAGTTAAACCAGAATGCAATATATCAGTTTAATAGCATATTTTCTATTAGGAACCAGAGTGAAATACATGAAGGGGACAAATTCCAAGCTTAGTTCTTTCCACCTCTAAGCAATACGATTTTTAGCTGAGATTGCACATACTTAAAAAATGATCATTCTGTTTCTCTTGTTTTTATTGAGTTGGCAGAAGGGCCAGAGACCAATACATTAGGGTTGTTTTTTTCAAGTAGCCAAATCACTGTAAGAGGCTTTCAAACCTGAAACTTCCCAATGACCTTTATTTACTTGTCAGTAAAAAAAAAATGTCAAATGACAGACAAGTATAATTGGAAAACGTGGATTTGTTAAAAACTGACACAGAGGCAGGTAAGTAAAAAGGATGGAAATACTTATTTTTGATTGAAGTGATCCTTATAGAAATCAATAAAGGCACAGTGCAGTGAACAGAACATATATAAGCACATGTGTATGTGCATACACAGACTCCTTAAATGCAGGCAAAAGGTTTCATAAAACACTATCTAGACAGTTAGAAGATAGTAATCCGGGAGACTCAATAATTAAATGTTTTAGAGCACTTTGCCTTTCTAAATTAAATCCAGCATGTCCCTCAATCTCTCTGTTCTTTTCTCATTTCTTCAGTTTTCTCTTAAGGTAAAGGTCAAGTTGTAAATAAGAGCTTTAATATGCACTGTTTCTGTTGTGCATGTTCTTGAACCCTTTTTGTCATTTCCTGCTTTTTCTTCCTTCATTTTTCCTCTCCATCAGCTGTGCATACTGGTATATGACCCTGTGTTTCTCCTCAGTATTATTCTTGATTACATAAGACAGAAAAACTCAGTTTAAAAAACATTTATGATAGGTTGCAAAGCCATTCAAGTTCTTGCAACCTTATTTCATCTGTGTTTATATATCAGAGTGCTGCGTTTAATCATAGAAGTACATAACATTTTTCACAGAATCTCATTAGTTAAACAGCACAACCAGAATTCATATAGCTAAAATCAGTATTTCGTTGTCTCTAAAGGAATATGCAAATCAATAGCAGTGCTAAGACGCATAAGGGAGCTACGCCTGTCTAACTGGGCTGGCTGTTTTATCTGGTAGTACATTTCATTCTCTCTGCCTGTCTGATCAGTAAGTTCATTTTAACAAAAACATACTTTAAAATGAGTAGCATAAGACAATGAAAAGGGGGGATTTATTTCCTATCACAGAAGATGATTAGATAGTACACTATAATGTTTGGGTGTCAAAACTCTTCAGACACCTTGTAGCTGCAACTGGTGCGAGTAGTCACACAGGTGATTAGATTTTAAAACTGGACCACATATCATACATGTACTGAGAAATGTATTATCCAGATAAACCCTTATCCAGAGTAATTTCTGTTACTCTTCATACTTAACTCAGGTTATATGCCCAAAATGGCATGTAAAGTGTATAACTGCATTGTTCCAGATTCCTTGCTTAACACCATGCCCAGAATTCCCTTCTGCATCCAGCCTGGCATCAGTTCTATTGCCATCTACTCTTTACATTCGTGCCCCATCTCAGCTCCTCCAGGGTTCTTCACCCACGTGTGGGGAAGAGCTGCACTTTCCCTCCTCTCCGCGCTGAAGTATCTCGAGGCTTCTTCACTGGGCAGACTGGAAGAAATGGTGCAGACAGTTTTGTCACAATGTGAGAGGATGAAAGACAGAGAATCTTCCAGCTCTGTTCTCCTTTCTTTTCTCCAAAATCTTTTAAAAGGTTGGGTATGAGGTATAAAAGAGCTGGAAGCCCTAATGACAGCTCACTTCTGTGTCTTTCTGTCTCTTAGCTACATACTTTAGTTATTCCAATTTGACACCTATCAGGGAGCAGACCTTCCAGCACAGTGAAAGATAAAAAAAATGACAGAAAGACAGCTGGACAGATATTGGTGAGCAGCTGTAAGATAGATAAGTGTGGATTGTGAGAACTGGAGCTCTAATAGACAGGAACTGTCTGTCAGATGTATTTACAAGGCATTGCAAACAACAGTGTTTAAGAACAACAGGAAAAAAAATACAGAGTCTAATTAGGGTAACCTTTACGTTTTCGGAAGTGCTGCAGTTCCTGAGCTCCAGTGAGCTGATGGGCTCCAGCCTAAGAGGGAATGCTTTTGGGCACATACAGTAAAGAAATCAGATAGGCCAAAGCCATATTTGAAGAACAAATAGCTGAAAATATAAAATACAGTAAGGAAATACTTCAAGATTAAAATGAGACATTCTGAACTATCCAGTGCTGACTACTATTGAATGAACAGTAGGACAAGGCAGGCACGGTGAGAGACGCAGCAAGACAGTTTCTAAATATGAGACATGTACCATCTCATTTGTTTATTTCAACTGGAAATTTACTTTATTATTAACAAATCATCAAGCATGCTAACAACAACAAAAAATAGTCCATTTTGCATTGGTAATTCAATGTATTTCTAAAAATCCTAGGGACAGCTTCTATCCTAGGGAGGACTAGAGTTTTTTGTGGTGACCAAAATAGTTGGTACTCCTAATACATAGAAGTTGGAATTACGAGTAAAGTTATGCTTCAATTTACAGCCACAACAGTGGTACATGTGCATGTACTGGAGTGTATGAAACAGTCAGGTTTGCTGGAAGTGTTTTGCCTGTAACGTGCTGAAACAGGGAGACTGAATAAAATCGTAATAAGGAACATGGTCAAAAGCAGTGGTTACTATGCTTTGCAAAGGTATTACATTTCCCAGCAGCAGCCTCAGCTTTTATCCTATATAACTGATAGTGTTTCAGTCACTAAACTGGAGAAGGCATGATACCACTGTCCTGCCAAGGGCAGTAAGTTTTAGGATATTGATGTACATGTTGCACAGTTGATGAGATGTTGATTTTTACAACTTGACTATCACTTTAAAGTAAAATCCTAATTTTGGATTGCTTGCTTTACCTCTATTTTTTAACAAATCATGTCAATATTCAAGCAGGGTAAATGGAATAACCTTCAATGTTCATCTGGTCCTGGAGTTCTTCTCTAGATGCTAAGGCATGTACAATTGGTAGAGAGCTGAAGAATGCTACAAACTACTGTGATTGAGAAGGATTTTTTCAAACGCATGACCTGAAATACTTTTTTGTGATTTTTGAGACTGTTGGTTGATGAATTTTCTGTCAACACAGCTTTTTAAAAGACTGTATTGTTCCCAGCCTTCTCATGAGAATGTTAACTTTATATAAAATCAGTTTAGCTGACATCAAATTAATTCAAATCTGATTAACTGAAAGACCACAAAAAGCAATTGCAAATGTGGAATTTTCACCAAGTAACTTGCATTAACTTGGAACTTGCAATAGCCTGTCTTGGTCTAATATTATTTGGTACCTTTCAGAGTAATTGAGAATTGAGAACCTTAAAAAAAATCAGAAAATTTTCAGCTGAGCTGCTGGTTTGGTCATGTTGTTTAACAGAGTAGTACATGATGAAGATAGGTTCCTACACAGCTTGACTTGGGCTGGTTTGTAAGATAGATGCATGCTAGCAAGGGCAAATTAACCTTTATGTGTTCTGATATAACTATGCGGTCCATGTTTCAACACAGCCCTACCCAATTCCTCCTAAACGTAGGTCAGTATCTTAGGATACAATGGTATTGATAAAGATGTTGCTGTGTTCTAGTTATTCAGCTGCGTAGGACAATGCTCTAGTTCAGGCAGCAAATGCTTAAACACATAAATGAAAGAAAACTGAAGGTAAGCAGTGTTAGGTCAGTTTATGGCATCATAAACAGATTTATCAGGTTCAGCTCTGGTGTTATTCTTACCTTCAAAAAGGATGTTAAAATTTTGGACAGATACAAAATAATTCAATGTTTGGAAAACAGGTTGGGGTTTTTTTTAGAGTGAGAGAGAGAGCATTTATATCACTTACAGGAAAGATAAGAGAATTCTTTAAAATGACATGCATACATTTAGATGAGAAGCAGATTTCTGATAGGATTTGACTTTTTAATTTGTCAGAAATGGACCACAAGGCACAAAATAAACAAAATTCAGGCTAGAAAAAAGGTGAAAATTTTTGATTATGAGACTTAACCACTAGCACTATCTATCTACCTATAAATATGTTGAGGTCTTCATTACTGGGAGACTTTAAATGATGACTATTTGTATATGGTAGACATTACATTTCAATCTATTGTCATTATCTATCTGAAAAAGTTACAGAGTTACGGACATTTGACCCGTGTTATGAAAGGAGTACAAATGAATGATCAAAATCACCTTCAGATTGTGTTAAATTTTAGAATAGGCCAATTTTCAAAATATTGCTTTGAGGAAGTGAGATATTTGGAGAGCAACAAAGCATTGTTTGACTAGTCACTGAGTCCTGCTTCCATCTGAAGTAAGTAGTACTTACCAGTAGGCACTTTGCTTTTTTTTTCCCTTTGAAATCTAAAGCAGTACTGTACAACTATTTGGATAAGACCACAGTCATTTGAACTATCATGTAATTAAACTGAAGTCTTTATCTAGCTCCAGGTACCATTTCAAAATGCAGAAGAATTTCTCTTGACCTCCATTTCAATTGATCATAAACAAAACCTCTTCTGTCTACATTTCCTTTCAATCACACGATTTTTATTTGTAACAAATCAAATACCTTTAGTCAGGCAGAAGCTTAAGCAATAGATGTTGGTAAGCAGCAAATATAAAATGTGTGTTTATGTTTCACTATTAAGATTCATATTGAAAGTAATAGAAGTATTAAATGTTTAAGAGTGTTGTGAGCTCTAGCTCACCATACAGCCCAACAGCCTGTTATATTAATGCAATTGAGAAGGAGATGTGGGGTTAGCAAGGAGGGGGTGGAATCTCGCTCCCAGGAGATATTTCTGTCAGCAGTGCCAATGAAAGAAATGTCACTGGAACCACAGTCTGCCTGATTTAAATCGGTAAGTCACATTTTACAAACATAACACAGGCTCATAGAGGTTTAAGTACCCTTTACTTTTGACTAGAGTTATGTGCCTGGCTACCTAGTACTTATTGCATCAGAAGATGCAGACAGGATCTACTGGAATTCTTGAAAACACCCAAGTGTTCAACTCCTGTTCAAACCAATTGCCTTCAGTACCCAGAAAATTTTAAAATGTACAATTAGGCATTAAGTGCTTGGAAATGTATCCCTCAAATGTTTTTGAAATAGAAGTTAAGAAGCAATGAAAATAGAACACAAGTTCATGGGTGCTCTTGGAAACAGATAGTTCTGAGTCTGTATGTCAGCTTAAGCAACTTGAGTTCTAAAACACTAATGAAAAACATGGTATACATAATTGGTTAATTAAAGTAATTACATTAATGAGTGTTTTATTGTTGTATCTACTACACTAATTTTATCTCAAATGCTTGTAGATACCTTGTTTGCAGTTTCTTTGAACATGGAGGGCAATACATGACTTATAAAATTGTTTAGAGCATGAACATAATACACAGCATCAAGCCTTTTTGATTATTATGTAGGAATATGTAGGGTTTTTGCTTCTTACTGGTAAATTTAGTAGGCTTATTGATTGATGGAAATGCATATAAATATTTGGGGTTTTGTGGTTCTTTTTGTTTTTATTTGTAGAGACTGGGAGCACTAATAACTACTTGCTGTGTTCTGGGAGCTTGCATGAAGCTGCTAGACTTACATGAAGGGTACTGACTAAGGGTACTTCTAGATGTCAAAAGGAAGGCCTTCTTTAAGCAATAGAATCACAGAATATCTCAAGTTGGAAGGGACCCATTAGGAAATTTGGCAGACAAAAAGATTCCTTCAGCTGCAGTGTTGGGCTGAAATGTCTATTCATTGTTAGGAATTTTGAGCCTGAGGCTTACATGTTTTCTGTTGTATAGTAGTAGTCATGTTGTAATAAGCAAATGGTATAGATCCAGCCATTCAAACTCACAAATGTCTCAATGCTTTAGAAACAGATGCTACTCCTATTGTACTTTTTTTTTTCCTTCAGTACAACTTACTTTCATCTCCAGTTTCAAATTCAAACTTCTGGCTATAGCCGCTGTATCCTGCTGCCGTCCTGACTCTGATATGAAATATATACTTGGTGGCTGGCTTGAGACCTGTGATGATAACACTTGGAGCCTTGGACCTTGTGGAGGAATAGCTGAGCTGCTCATGCTCCTGAGGGACAAAAGAGGGGAGAAATGATATCAAGTTGAGTTGTACAGATTTTTAAAAAATTATATAACAGAACTGAAGCTCCATATTCTTCTCATGAATGTAAAATGTGTTTATAAAAAGAGGTGCAGGTATGGATTTCTGTACTTTGATTTTGTGCTATAGTCATAATGCATGATATGGACTTGACTTAGATTTCATCTTTTTGTCTTTGATCTTGCATATAAACACATCTTTGTCACTTGGGTTAGTAATTACACTGTAGTCAAAACGACATGGAATTAGTACAAGACTACATTCACAGATAATGGCAGCTAGAATGGTAGCTAATTATTTTTGCACAATGGACAATCTAGGAGGTCAGTAAATACTAGTAAGCTGTAAAGTAAAGATGTTGGAGTATTCAAATACCCGCTACTCACTTCTACCCGCAGGTAGTGCCAAAATGCCGGCGCTATCCGTGGGTAGACCTGTGGGTAAAAGAAAATAAAAATTAACCTTTTCTTTAAAGTCTGTAAACTTCTAGAATGATTCAACTGTATCACTGCTGTTGAACTTCATTTCTCTTTCCATGTCGCTGTAATGTAGTTGTACATGAAATTCCCTTTCACACTCTATAAAGAGAAACACTGCGAAAGTGCCCTGTTAATCTAGCAGTTGATCCTGGGCATCTGCTGAGAACTCCTGACTCTCATGAAATTCCTGACTTCAGATCAGCATTGAGTATTATGGGCTAGAGATCACCGGGAATTACCACCACAGACAACTGCTGTAGTATGGAGCCCAGCCACATCAATTGCTGTGCAAAAACTAAGTCTAGCTTTGCTAGACAGGTTGTTGATGATACTTTTACAAGAAGGGATGGCTCAGAAGAGACAGTTTATTCCCTGTCATTAATTACTGTCACTTGATACATCAGTAATCTGTAATATTTTATACGGTGCCTTAAGGCTAGCTTTATTTCATTGCAGCAGGATTTGTCTCCAAAGTGACAAATGAACAGAAATGTCCTTGGCATATGCTTAACAATCCAACTGTGATATCCATAGGGCACTATATACATTTATTATACCATACTGTAATATTAGAGTACATATACGTTATTCAAAGGGTGCTTTCAGCCTGTTAAAAAGGAAACAATCTGGTTCACAGAAGACATAGGACCAGGAGAAGAATAGGTTTCAGTTAGATTCTGTTGGGCTCTTAACCTCTTCTGAGCAACGTACATATGTATTTTTTAATATAAGTTTTTTTGGACAGACAGTTATCAAGTATAATTTCTTATTGTAGTTGGTCAAAGATAATGAGTGTGACAAGGATTGTGATGGTAACATTTAATCAACAGAATGGGTCCTTCCATCTGTGTGGGCAGGCTGTGGCTAATAGCAACTTCCTGAGGGGCTGTCATCTCTGCCTGTCCTTCTGGGCAGTGGAAGGTCACCTCCAAGGGCTGTCTGGCTTGCTGCCCACATCATGTGCCTGCAGCTGCCTGCAGGAGGCCCTGAGGGGTGCCATCTCTGCGTTCTCCTGCCTCCTTCCTTCTTTCCCTTCTGCAGCCTCTTATGCCATACATCACACAGTCAAAATGGTGTCTAGGAGTCCACAATCATAAAAATAATACTTCTGTCATATGGGAAAGGTGGTAGAATTTGTTACTGTAAGTGAAATAAGGGGAAAGGAACCTGTCACCCTGGTGTGTTTGAGAAAAAAAAGCTTCAGAAGCCTGTACCTCAGAAGAAAGGTGCTCAAACTTGAGAAAAAATGATTAATAGCTGGAAACTTCACATTGTTTTGTTTGAATGTTTCACACAAAGACATCAGCCTTTTTGGACTGGATTCATACATAAGCCAGTTCTCCAAAGAGTGGATGTTTTGCCATTACACCCTTTTCATTACAATGACAAGATCTGCAGCTACCCGGCAAGCCAAAGCTTTCCACAGAGATGCAATTTGAGGTTGATGAGGGTGGCTTTCAAGGTTGGCCCATGATCTTTCTCAGGAAAGCTAAAGATGGTCTTAGGATAAAACAATACAATTTTAAGCTGCAGAGAAGTATGTGATGCTTTGTCTTATTCTTGTCACAAATAATAGACACTTACTTTTGCATGGATTCTAGGTTCAAAAACTGATTTTTAAACTACAGGACTTAGATGTACTTCATGGATAGTTAGTGTGTGCTTTTATTAGACTGATTTTCTATCGTGGCAAAATTTACACATATATCACCCTTCCTGACGTGCACCCTATTTTCCACTGGCAGGAAGTATGATTCTGAGGGCTAGAAGGAGCTACAGTATGCTCTGTGATAGATCTGTGATATGGACAGTGATGGGACCATGGGAAATGCCAAGGAGTTTATATACAAAGGAGAAGTACAAGAAATGCTCTGATCCTTCACTTTAGTATCAGAGCAGCATTTGTGATCTTAAGATGGCATAGCACTCACAGGAAGCAGTTTTGAGAACACTGGGGCTGAGGATTTAAACATGTTAATGGAGTCTATCTAATATAATATATTCATATAACTACTAGTCAGAATCTGATAAGAGGAAATTCATAAGGCCTCTTCTATAGCCTACTGTAAATTTATCTTGGTGAAAACCTGTCATTAAAACAGAAATATAAACCAAAAGACAAGTGATGCCAATGTTATTACACAATGCAATAGAGAGCCTACTAACAGCTATTCAAGTTAAACAGAATTATATCATAACTTTGAAAATGCTATCTCTATTTGTATGGAAATTGTATTTTTCTTATTGTGTGATTCTTCTTGTCAGTGGATTCAGTCTGGTTATGAGAGACAATGTTCACAAACCTGTAACAGTTTCGTCTATGCATGAACATGAACACCTTTCAGAATCAAACTCCTTCTTGCAGCCACCTCTGCACAAGTATCTGAATCTGTATGCATCCTAAGTTTTTACCTGACTTTATAGTCAAGACATTTTTTCATATCCAAAGAAACAGACAGACTGCATGGAGGTTGCAATAGTGCATATGGTCTAATAGCAGACAAACTGATTTAATGGGGTAGCACGATTCAAGTATAAAAAATAAGGAAAAGCCTTCTGCTTCCACAGTGCACCAGACTAGCTGCATCTGTCCCATCAGCATATGCTGTAATGAAACATTTCCACTGTATGACATCATCAGATTAAATGATAGTTCATCACTCACTGAAATCAGCTACTTTATTAATGAATGTCGTATTCATGCAATATCCAGATGTTACATTATCATGATGAGTATTACAATTTTTCTGATACGCTCAAAAGAAAGGGGATTCCTTCTGTTGATATTAAACTTGCAAACAAATATATGGACCTCCAACTGCCAGACCTATGTGAACGTGCTGCTCTCTGATTTTATCCCCACCTTACTTCAGAGGGAAACAGCACAGAATTGAAGACTCTGTGCACATATATGAAATAAAATATTGATAAAGATTAACCAAAATGTGAAGACCTTTCATCAGTTTAGACTCATACGGCATATAAAGAGCTTACGTTCTGATGCTACAGGTGAGAAAAAGTATATATGACTAAAAATGTTAAGTGCAAAAAAAAAAAAAGAAAAAAGATAATAAAAGCTGAAACACAGAATTTTGCTTATCGTGCTCAAATAACCTTTAAAAGATTAACTTTATCACTAAAGCACTGATAAATATTCAGGCACTTTCAGGTGCACAAGGTTTGTCACTGTTAATATTTGAGTGGGAAAGAGAAACATGGCTCTAAATAAAATCACATCAGTCCTTATTTTAGCAACTGAAAAGATAACTGGATATAATTTTCTACCATTTAGAATATATAATGGGAGCTCCAGGAACTACTACTCTCTGTGTCTAGCTATACTGCAAATGACAATCAAGCTACTCAGTTCATTGAGTCCCATGAGTAACTGAAAAGCCTTCTTAAGACTGACACTGGGGATTTTCAAAGGTTTCTGCCAGCTGAAAACATACTTACTGAGTACCTAGAACTTCCAAGTGTATGTGTGAAGAAAGAATCCAGGGAGACAGTGTCTGAATTTACTATCAACTGCTTGAAAATACATTTTCTAGTTTATATCCATTGTCCTCCAACATGAAAATTCTGTACTTAAGCCATAAAATACTGCTTAGCCTTTTCAGAGCGTATCACCTAACAGAAAGAAATACTAATAGAGATTCAATCTATACACCACAGGGACCAGGCCTTTCTCCTGTACACTAAAGCACTATGTCAAAGCTGACTAAGTACCACATTAAAGTAAAAAAGATTTGGAGGTCCATGATTCAGACATCATCAAGGTTTAAATAAAAGCATCAATTATAAAAAAAAAATCTTTTATGAGAACATTTGGTTCTCATCAAAACATCAGTTGGAAGAATATACACAGTGTGACCTACAGAGGAAGCATCATTATTTTAAAGGAATGACCACGATTCTGGAAGATAGGAATTTTTATTAATCATAGCTCTGGTCTATCGTAAAAGGAAATCTCCAACATCTTCCTTACTTCTCTCATGGAATCATCTATGATGGCATTTAATTACCTTCAGAGTCACCTGAACTTTAATGCTATGATACACATTAGAATAAGACAGTAGATAATTACTAGGTATAATCACTATGTGGTTAATCAGTTCAAATAGAATCTATTAAAGACAAATAACAGCTGACTGTGTTTATACATACTGCCTCTATTTTCTGAGGAAAACATAGCCCCCACAGCTCCAGTTTATGAAAATTGCCTTTGATTTATACTGCCTATATTCCTTTCACAACTAATTTGCTCCCAATAATTCTCAAAAATTATTTTCTTTCTTCACAATAAAGTATTTCCATAATATGATTTCTGAAATGCCCCAAGTCGTATCTCTCTTCTCATCTTACCTAGACTCTTGTAGATGAAGTGTAATTACACTGAAATCAGTAAAATTAACTACACCTGGGAAAATCAAAGTCTGTCTTTGAAAGCCTCTCTCCCTATTTACTTATTTTGTGCCTGGTTTTCTCTTAGGTAACTATTTTGACCTAGGATATATCAATTAACATGAATGCCAGCAATAATATTTAGAAGATATTAGAGAAAACAGTCACTGGTTCAAAAACATGCTTCTAACATTAATTACTTTCTGATTACAATATAATCAACAGCATTAGGTAAATTCTCACTGCAATAGAGTGAAAAGAAGAAATACAATAATAGAAATAATAGTCGAAGATACTATTCGTATTCTTATGAAAACACTTCCTGTGAATCTTGTAGCTTTGGTTTCCAACTGACCAACAAACTTGAAGTAAATTTAGGAAAGTGATTACAAAGAGCTGAGGACCAATAGGAACTAAGATGAAAACTCTGGCAGGAAAAAGTAGGGCCATACAGAAAATTGCTGGCAGCTCTAGTAATTGCTTCAGAGAAGAAACATGCAGCATTTTAAGGCATCAGCCACTTTAGGCTGTAATCTTCTCCCTTCCCTTCT